GGTTTACTACGTACTTCCGCCAACAAGGGTGAAATCAAGTTTTCAGCTCAAAATTTGTGTATAACAATACAGTAGGATGTTTTACGAGTAGAACGCTAGCCAATATCGGACNTCGGACGATATTTCAGCGAGATGAAGAGTAGGCGTAGATGTACGTACGCCCATAAAACTTTTGTCACTCCGACGTCTTATGAATAAGATGTAGGTACTAATTAAATTTCCAAATCCTTGGGGGAGGCCTTTGTCCAGCAGTGGATGTCTCTCGGCTGAAACGAACGAACGAACGAACTAATTAAATCCATAATTATTCTAATTTGTAACCAAAGGTTTAATCAAACGTCCAAAGGCATCTAGAAATATAGTGTAGCTTTCTATTGTCTCTCAAAAAAATGTTTGGTAATTGGTAAGGTACTTATTGCTCAATTTTAATTACTGTTTACACAAAACCAGTGACTTGTGGACTAGGTTACCTATAAATATAACCGGTAACAAAAACTAATTCACGTGTTAAACTTACTCGCTGTAAATTAGTATTTTCAGCTGTCCATTTTTTTGTGTGACAGACGAACGGTTGAAATGCAGAAAAAAAATTATTATTATACCTAATTACTCTACAGGGTGGAAACGATAAGTGATCTCACTCGATTATTTCTAAACTATACAAGATATCAATAAACTAGTTACTGATTCTGAAAGTGCTTTATAAGCTCTATCAAACAGTATTAATAATAGGTTACAGAATAAACTGGATCTATCCGAAAATTCAACCTTTCCAGCTTCCATACATTTGGTTAAGTCACATTATTTCAAAAACTACACATGATATCGTAAAACTGATTACTGATTCTAAAAGTGCTTCTCAATCTCTATCCAATGGTATCAATAATAGGTTACAGAATAAACTGGATCTATCAAAAATTTCAATGTTTCCTTCTTCCATACATTTTGTACTACCACATTCATGACACTCATCTCCTTGACAATATTATAGCAAGTAAAGCCTAAAACCAATATTTTCCATGAATAATTTGAAATAAGAATACAATTTACGAGTTTATTTTGAGAGTTTATTATTAAATAAAAAAAATACACTTCTAATATTGTGTGTCTGGCATACATTTAGTATGGAAGCTGGAAACATTGAATTTTCAGATAGATCCAGTTTATTCTGTAACCTATTATTGATACCGTTTGAAAGAGCTCCTGAAGCACTTTCAGGATCAGTAACCAGTTTTTCAATATCTTGTATAGTTTAGAAATAATCGAGTGAGATCACTTAACGTTTCCACCCTGTATAATCCTAATTAAACCAACCAGTAAAGTAAAAGAAGCTAATAATTGAATCCATATAAGCATGACAGCAACATCCTCGAGAAAAGAAGTAGGCGCGTAACATATGGCTCCAATCGAGAAAGCGGATATTACTCCATTATTAATAATGTAATAATATTATAAGGAGCTGTTGTTTTCTGAATAAAGAAAAAATAAAATAAAATATAAATTATTACAATTCAGTGATGGCCTTATAAATATCTTAAGAAGAAGCTTATAAATATTACAAAAACACGCAAATTTAAATTACAATATTGTTGTAAAATCCGCTGATTTTCCGGGTATTTATCATAGTTGCGTGATAGCATAATGTAACGAATATTCATATGTAATTTCATTATTCGTTATCAATTCAATATGCTCACACACATAACCGTTAGATATATCAAAGTACTTTAATTTATGATTTGACGGCCCAGTAGCGATCTATTTCATTTCCCAATTTAGTAAAAACATTGTTTCTTTACTGACTCGCGTTTCTTCTACATTGGGTGTGCTGAAAACGATAGTTTTTTGTAGGTAGGTACGATAGATTTTGTACGATAGATGCTCATTTATTATATGATATAAGATATAATATACGTGTATAATAAATAGATAGTGATACTTACTCATAATATGTAGCACACAAGCCCAAGAGTCTTCTGTTGTCTAACTTAATTGTGTGGGTGAAAATTATTTAATAACATGTACAAGACAAAGTTATCGGATGAAATTAAATTAGGAGACATTATTAGTTTCTTGTTTATTAGTTGTTGTTATCTTATGAAATACATAATTATATTACAAACCCAGGAGTACTTTACGCTAATAAAAATTCCCCTTATCAGTGACCAACCGAAAACAATACACATGGCATAAACCTCACGAATAGTCCGATGACGGCGCAGACCAAATGGCTCTGTTAATCTGCGATCGATGCCGTCAGATAAGTGTTCAGTCATTATTGGGCAGTAATTAATCTTTGTCAGTGTTGCCAGATCTGCCACGGACTGATACAGCTGCCTTTGTCGTCGATTTATACTTAGTTTGCTTTGGGCCTTATCCGGAAACAATGGGCGAAGGAACATCGCCGTTCGGCATGCCCGAGGACTGTCGGAATGAATTGCGACGCGATTTGTGTCACTCAGATAATACGCTCCTTGTTATCTGATTTTACAACCATTGTTAGCGCCATAACTTAATACTTCAACATTCGGGGGCGCGGACACAATAGAAAATCAATTTCCCCGAATGCTGTTTGACGTTACACGCTTAAAAGGCTTGAATTAGTGCTTACTGGGTACAGATTGTTAACTTTAACGGTGAATTTAGTTCACCCCTTTATTGTTTGTAGACAGCAAAATGTTAACGTTCAAAATCTTTCCCAAAATCTTTTTTCTTTGAACCTAAGTATTTAGTCCGCAAGATATCTTCGGAACATAACCAAACATCTTAGAAAATTTGAAACTTCCCCATTTTTTCGATCAAGGAATCTAGTAAAGTATTGGCGTAGAATACCTATCTCTCTACGGCACTAAATGGCCCTAGCGAGAATCGATCGGCCTAACTTATAGAACAAAGTTTTCTAAATTGATTCGGGTTAGGCTTCGGCCAAACTAACGCGATCACACCGCGATCAGCCGGCGTGCAGCGATGGCGACCAGACCTAAATGCATTGATCGCCATCGCTGCACGCCGGTTGATCGCGTGTGATCGCGTTGGTTTGTCCGAACCTTTAGGCATTCTGTGGGATCCCACGCGATCACATTGTCTGCCGCATAGTAGGTCACCTATCTTCTTTGGGAATGTTCCATAATTTACCCCATTTATTCGTCATAATTTATGATGTACGAAACTGAATTTATTACCCAATTATGAAAACACAAAAGATGATAATGCGTTTCGAATTAATTTTCATTTAAGCCTCTGGATCTTGCTTGTATTAGTTAATCAAGGCTATTGAACCATACGATAGAAGCAAATAAAATCTTTTTTCGCGGACGTAGAACGAGAAATATTTTATGTATCTACGCTCTCCAAGCTGTCGTGTTTATGGCTGAAAACGAGACCCGTTTCTGGAATTAAAGCGCTAGCTCCCAAAACTGCGGAATCAGCATTTCATCACTGCAGATAAACGGTGCCATTATCGGTATTAATCCATTCGACACCTAGCAAAGCGTTGTATAAAATACGAATACCCGGCAACATGGAGTCGGAGCGCAGTCGTATATCTCTTTTGTACGCGAGATTAAAGAGGCGATGGCGTGGGCCGAAGCCATCCATCTCCGTTAATGCTGTTTCGACGCCAGCGCCGCACCATCCGCTTCTTCCACGCTGCCAGCATTTAAAACTAACTAAGCGCTATCTTGTCGGCCGTTTGGTGTAGTGTTTCAGAACGGACTACCATGCCGAGAGGTCCCGGGTTCGATTCCCGGCCGGGCAGAAATTGAAATGATGAATTTTAATTTCTGTGACGGGTCTGGGTGTTACTATGTATAATATGTATGTATTTAAAAAAAAAGTATATAAGTAGTATATCCGTTAAGCTAGCACCCATAACACAAGCATATTAATTTTATTGCTTACTTTGGGGCTAGATGGCGCTGTGTGAGATTGTCCAAAGATATATAAAAGATATATCTTCCAAAAACGTTGCATCCAATGTTGCGATGTCCTATCGAAGTTTATTCAACTTGGCGACCGAATGAAGAATAATAAACTCGATTGTGCACGTTTTTGGCCGCCATAGCTACATTTTATGCACAATTTAAAACAAAATGCGTACGAAATAGCAGCCATACTGTTTTTTCTAGCTAATATGGTTGTGGAAATCTAGCTCCGTTTTAGTTACAATATGTAGGTATTGTAGGTCTCCAACGTTCATTGTTGACTTTATGATGCTCACTGTTTTTTAATCTTTAAAATAAACGTGACACAAAAGCATTTCCCCTTACAATATCTTCATGAACAAACGCCGGAGTTTTTCCAGGATATATTGTAAGATAGAAAATATTATTTCTAGAAACAGTCTACCGAAGAACACATGAACCATAATAGTTATGCAGTTGTTTGTTTGCTCTACTTGTATAACTGGTATAACAGAGAGGTAGATATTACTCGTAGTAGAAGGAGTCATCATAACAAGTTCTACAATAATCCGAATTGTATTTCGATCAAAACAAGAAAGCCAAAAACTTTTAAATCCTGCTTAAAAGCGAAAAAATAGTACTGTCGTGGAATTTAACATTAGGATCATTGAGACATAAAACACTACCTTGATGATTACAACGACTTATTCGGGCACTAAATTAATAGTCGATTGTCCAAAACAAAGTAGGTAGGTACCTAGTCCCACTTGCAAAAAGTACAGTGACCTTAGTAACTTTTGCAATTTAACAAACTTTCAAATAACTCTTATATTAGAGTTTGATTCGCCTTAAATATTTTATTACCTTTGCCTACTGAATTAATTACTACGAAACTTCAAACAGGTCACTTATTACTTTAGTTAGAACAATCTTAAATATTAAAACGTTCTAGAAAATAGAAAGAAATGTAAGAACCAAAATTAAATATCATATTGAATTAATGGAAAGGATGGATACACATAAGATCGCCAGGCCATCGAGCGTCTCTTTAAAGACTTTTTTATGCATAGGATTTAAAAAGAAAGTACCAAATCGGATTTAGTGTTTTATTATGTACATTACACAACATACAGATCAGTCGTACGATACGTGTTCACATAACACGCCTTAATACTTACAATAACAAAGTAAATAAATTATCAACAAATCCACCTTATTAATACATCATTTGCATCATTCCGTTCATAGTTTACCAAGTTTCTTCAACAACATAAGCGGGGTAAGACCTGAAAGTAAAAGAAAAATTACATTACGATTAATTATCTAGTAAAAAATTCATAAAAACATCTGTTCAGTGACTTTAATATATGTACAACCCGGTCGCGTTAACTGCGCACCTCGCTGAAATTCGACTCTCCCTCGCACATCTCCGCGATTTCGCCCCATTAGTACTAGAGCGTCGATGTGACGTCATAGGTGCGCAGTTAATTCGACCGGGTTGTAGCTAGCTACCATGAAGAAAATTCTATAAATCATAATTACCTGTAGCCACCACCGTAGCCGCCGCCGTAACCGCCGCCGTAGCCGTAACCGCCTCCGTAGCCGCCGCCGTAGTGGTAGCCGCCGCCGTAGCCGCCGCCGTAGCCGTGTCCGTAACTCCTGCCGCTGAAGGCCTTAGCCGCCAGAGCGCCGCCGACGACACCCGCGCCGACAGCCTTGGCGCCAAGGATTCCTGCTCCGAGAGCACCCGCGCCCAGGATACCAGCACCGATAGCACCAGCGCCTAACGCTCCAGCACCTGTAAAAAATAATAAATTGATTAGTTTAAAACTCATAAAAAACTAAAACTCATTTATTTACACCAGGACAATAAATGGGCCAGTGCTGAGAAGAAGCAGCGCAACCTCAGTCACTATTGTCAGCCTCTTTTTCAAGGGTTTATAAACATTAAAATGTACATAGTTATAAATATGTATGCCTAGCATTTAATTCTTTATACAGTAAAAAAATATGATTTATCTACCTGCTCAAAATGATACACATAAATTCCAATTTGAAGTGTTCCATTGCATGCCTGAGTAATATCCCGATATATCAATTCTACAATACTGCTCATAACTACAATAACCGAAGTTTCAAACGTTTCCACCTCTATCACGCAGTAGCAGCTATAATGCCCGAAACTACCTAAACTAAAGAGCGTTGGGGAGTAGCCATGCAGATACGGATATCCGATTAGGTTACAGGAATAGTATTTCCAAAACTATTATAAAGCTGATGTCCCAAAATGTATGGAAGCTTGGCCAAGAAGTCAAAACTACGAAAAAAAGTGCTAATATACCTACAACACTTTGTTATTATCCAATTTCTTTACAATGGCTTGTTTAATTGTAATCAAAAAGAAAAATAATAAATGGAAGGATGACATCCTTTACTAGTATACTAATGCCCATTTTCACCATCATTTCCTAATTTTTAAGTGAACCCTATGAAAACAAAATGCCTGTTCTGAGGTTAGGATGTGTTACCATAGGGCTCACTTATAAATTAGGGATTGATGGTGAAAACGGGCATAAGACTACTTTTATCATTATTACGTATTTAATTTTGGCCTACTATTCCATCTAACTCAGATTATCCAGGTCTAACTATACCTAGAAACTATTATTATTTTATTGTACTTTGGTTCCATCAACTATTAAACGCGGTTTAAGTTTAAAATCACATTTCAAGTGATAATCGCGAAAACTAATTACTCCAATCACTTTCATGTCAGATACGATCTGGTTCAGTGTATTGTGAATTCCCAGCGGTTAGATAACTCATCTTTAATTTGTCGGGGGTCCCGGTGGGCCTAGAAAGTTGACGGCCTTCGGAGACCGTAATAATTATACGCATTGATTAACTTCTATTAATGAGTAACGATGCACAACTACCTACTAAACTAGGAGTATACATTGGTTTTACCACATTAACTTATTATTTAAAAAACCACATTCATCGTAACAAAGGTAATAAGAAGATTTTTAGATACCTATAAATTATTAGCTAAAATAATTAATGACAATAAAGTATCTTCTCTGTCTTATAACCTATGACCACATAGAAACAACTATGTAAATTAATTTCATTTACATATTCGTGGATTCTTGTTTTTTTTTCTCCTCAAAGTCGTAAGTGGTTAAAAAAAGGCAGGTACGTACCAAAAGGTTTAATTTGATGATCATGAGATCATGTGAAATGCAGGTCAAGAGCCTCCTCTTTGTGGTTAAAAATAAGCAGCTCATCAAGTCATTTAATCACCACTAAAGGAACATTAATCTCTCCTATTTACTATTAATAGGCTATTGCGGCTATAATGCAGGATTTAGCTTACACTCCTAGAGCAATTCAGATGGGTTAGGGAGATTTGATATTGGCTTTCTTCTTCAATCCTCGGGAAGTGTTATGTAGGTCTTATTCTACACTGCCGGATCGGCTAAGAATACTCTTTATTCTGAATGTATTATTACGTACCGAGCAGTAGACCGTGCCTCTTAGTGCGCGCATGCTCGGCTTGCACGCCGGGCTGCAGCGCGGCCAGCAGGGGACCAGCCTCCGCCGCTAGGGACGCCGCACACGCCACCAGCACTCCAATGACGATGATGCTCACTTTCAATACTAGGCTGTATAGTGATAGCATACGTACCGAGCAGTAGACCGTGCCTCTTAGTGCGCGCATGCTCGGCTTGCACGCCGGGCTGCAGCGCGGCCAGCAGGGGACCAGCCTCCGCCGCTAGGGACGCCGCACACGCCGCCAGCACGCCAATGACGATGATGCTCACTTTCATTATTAGGCTGGAAAGAAATTATTCAATGAGGGTTTTCGCGATTGAAAAGTCCGCCAGATGGCAATACGTAGACGGGAGGTCCAAATGCTGCATGATTGGTGGATTTTGACATATCTGTCAATGTCATGTCAAAAATAACCAATCATGCAGCATTTGGACCTCCCGTCTACGTATTGCCATCTGGCGGATTATTCAATCGCGAAAACCCTCATTACTATCACATGTTTGTCCCTAGGTTTATTGTGCAATATATTTAAGTAGACTTTTTTCAGCGGGCTATCGTATTCACGGAGGAGGCAAACGAATGGTTGGTCTCTAAACGGTATTCACAACAAAGCCTTGTTTCTAGCAAGATTTTTTAAAACATAGGTAAACACTATACCATACCTATCTACCTATACCATAGGTAAACACTTACTCATCACATATTTACACAGAGTTCTAAAACAAATAAAATTAGCATGGTATGTTATTAATTCCTTTGCATTCATTATACACTTCTGTGTAACCGAGTCCTTATTAACGTATTAATAAACTAAATATTGATTCTGCTAATTACCTATTAAAACAATTCCAGCAGTTAAAATAGCATTTATAATTAATGGCAGAATAGTAGAAAAGTGTCTAAATGATCTCAAAATATCACTTCAATAACTGAACCCCAAACTAGGAAGAGTTTATACGGTAAGTAGCAATAAATTACCAATTGACTATGAATATTTATAAACCATATAAATTCGACGACCGTCCATGACTCGAGACATAAGTTGCTCATGCACATGACACCAACATTAATTTGCCTCCGCGGAATTCGAACCCGCAACCGCAACTGGCTAGCCGGGTGGCCATCGATTTAACAACTCAAAAATTGGAAGCACTTATTGACTACAAGTCTTTCAATTTTCTAGTAGGAACAACACAAAAATTATCTAGCTACAAATTAGTAGAGCGGATGTTTGTAGAAGGCTGTCGAGTTATGATAAACATCGAAATTTGGTTATGCCCTTGACTTTGTGTAAAAGCTAATTTCAATGTCTCTATGAAAGCGTAAGATAATTGTCTTTTTATACATTTCCCGTTCGTTAAACATAACAAAATTCGTAATCAGTTAATATCACTCTAATTAAATTATTTTAATTTTCTTTTTGAATAATTGAACCAAAATTTAACTTCTATTTACTTAAATAATATATTATTTTTAACACGCATTTTTACTGTCTAAAATCCTATTTTTAAATGTGAAACTTATGTTTCTTTTAATTTAATCAGCCATTAATCACTAAGACTAAATTAAAAATTGTTTATTTTTTTATTTTATCTTAATAATTAGCACCTACACCCACCTGTTTGATTGGTTATCTCCTAACACACACTCGTCTCACGGCACAAATCAACTGTCCACCTTGGTCCTGCCGTTGACTTTTTATAGGTCGGCAATCCGGACATACAACCAATATGATATTCGCATACTTAACAACAAGGTGCCAACTCAAAAAACTTGAATTTTATACTTAAAACTATCCGAAGATAATGAATGGAGCGTCTGCTTTTTTTACGCGTTGTCGATGTTTTCACCATAGTAGTATGGTTATTGTTGAGCGCATACGATACGGGAATTTGGCATTGATCGAAGTCAATGCACTTTATTGTTAAGATTTATATTTTATAGTAAACATGCGAATTGGTTTGCTGGTGAGCATAGCTGTTATAAGATTATAGCTTATTTAGATGAGTTTAGTTAGACCCATGAGCTTCTACGTCATCAAAGGAATAATACGCGATTAATTCAACCGAGCCATAAATCAGATCGGCAAGTAAAGTTTTTGGTAACTTGAACTCTGAATGTTACGATTTTGAGTTGTCTCTATGTAGCTTACCACGCACAATATGGCCTGTGCGGAAGATGTGTCACCGCCCCGCCTAGAGAATAAGCCAATATAATACGCATCATAATAATAGGCCGTCTAGTTTCAGGTGTTCAATATTCATTAGACGTTACGTTATTACAAACATGAAATTGTTGATGAGCATAGTTACCGAACTCACAAGTTTGGTTGGGAGCGGGAATTCCGCAGTAGATCAAACGATAATAATACCTCTTGAACACAGCATCGTGTGTGGAGCTGTCTGGAGCTTCACATTTCAAGACAAATGTATCTCTCATACATTATGAAATGAGCCTGGAAAATCATTTGGCACCACGAAAATGGGTCAAAGCTCTATATTTGATGTCTAATTTTCCGTTCAAGTTTCCATGCAGACGAGCCGTAATTGTTTTTGATCTAAAGCATGAAACGAACAAAATCAATAATTTTCTCGTACCTACTTTTATTTCGATTTCAAAGAGATGATAATTAAAAAATCATTTATTTAAGACATGTCATAGTGCATTATGTTCGTTCATATTAGTACTTGATTCTCTCCCTTACGAGTATTTAGAAAAATAATACAAAGAACAACATTTACATTATTAATTTATTTTTATTGTATATTTTATTGGACAAATCCCTGACTAACTGTCCTGTATGTACCTACTTAGTGAAAAATGTGTATAAATCTATTATCGCCATTTTTAATTGAGATGAAAATACTTTTCAATTCGATAGTGAATCGTCCAAAGTAATTATAATTACTTAATTACCTCATTGATACTTCTCAGGTAAGGCTTTGAACTCATAAAATAAGCCTGACTATAGAATTATCGTTAAAATTTGCTAGTCATTATGAACCATCCAAAGTTCGTATTAAATATTAATATGTCTACCATTTAGCGAGTAGGCTAGATAGCTATCAATTCTCACCTTTATGAATATTGCTAGAGGTGAACGACCCGTCTCAGCAACCGCGCAAGGTAAACCAAAAATCGAGCTTGCCCCCATTTCGCCGAAATAATAATCAACAAACAACACCATAGAGTAAATATTAGGTCTAATGTTAATTACAGTAAAGCTCAAAATTGAATTACATTATTTTACGCTAAGGTTACGATGAATTTACCTTCCGGTAATAACAAGTTTTAAATCAAGGCACAGTGACATATTAATCAAAATCAGATCAAGTACGTATCGGGATGTGTTTGGTAGAGTTCCGTAGAAAGCAATATAATGCACACCGTGTGACTTATACTCGTACATATGAACTTGTACTTGTGGGTACCTACAGTAATTAGCATCTCAATTTGTCTAACATACTATAACAATGATCAGTCTTTAACATTTGAACAACCTTCTTTCTCGAACAAAACATTTTAAAAAGTACAAAACGAACTTTAATTTAAATAAAATAATAATGGACGGGAATTTCCAATATATTTTGTTGAAACAAAGATTGTAATTAACACCGTTTCGTAGCCATTAAAACGTGCTTCAGAATAAAAAAAAAATATTTCTTGTCTGATGCACTATTAATGGGGTAACTTTTGTATTATTATTAACAAAGTTCACATTATGACAATACTCACTAGAACCAGAACTTATACATGTGCCAATACACGCAACCAAGTAGTTTATTTAGAAAAAAAACTAGTTTGTAAATGAAACGGTCACCATTGACGTAATTTACAAAATTTGTGGAATTTGACTGGTACAGTATCTATTCTACCTAGGGTTTCTGATTTCTCGACTTATTTTTATTCTCGAGTTTCGGGAATTCTCGAGGCCAAGGTCTCGAGTTTTCTCGGGTCTCGAGTCTTTTAATTAAAACTGTTGAAATCGGTTGAAATTTAATAAAAACACGGGTTTTTATTAATGTTATATTGTGTCTGGGTTATAATCAATGATACTGTAAAGTTGCAACAAAATCCGTTCAGTAGTTTTTGCGTGAAAGAGTAACAAACATCCAGACATCCACACAAACTTTCGCATTTGTAATATTAGTAGGATAATTATAACTTAGTAATTAACTAAAGGAACAAAAGTCAAAAAGTCGCGTGTACTTTAAGGATTAATAACCATAAATATCTGGAGCTCCAATTGAATCACTTGTTTTCCAAAGAACACAAGTCCAAATTAATTGAAAAATTACGATAATAAACCTGCATTTACAAACAAAAAAAAACATTTAAACTTGAATAAACGTATTTACGAGTAGGTACCTAAACTAACAGATATTAATAAAAAAAAATCAGTCTTTAAATCAGTCAGTTATACATACAAACATAATAAAATATAGCATAGGTACTCGTAGGTGATCATTATTAGTTTCGGTTGAGATCATTGCTTGCAAATCAAATTAGTTAAAAAAAGGAAAGACTAGGCCAGTCTAAACGCAACGTTAACCTATTAAATAATTAAACACTTACTTTTGTCTAAGAAAATAGGCTTTCAAGAATATTAAAGCTTCAAAATCGAAACTCGAGAATTCTCGAGCTCCGGTAATTTTTTTCTCGTCTCGAATGAAGCCAAATTTCTCGAGTTTTCTCGAGTTCGAGAAAGCTCGAGCAGAAACCCTAATTCTACCATAACTACCGCGATATTTGATTTGACTATGGTGATTAACGCCCATTGAAGCGACATGGTCAATATTTAGAGATATGTCAAAGGCAAATCGTTAAATTGTTGGCTAGCTTTTCGAAATCCCCATTGTGTGACAAGCAAACATGATTAGAGTTTTGTGTGGTTTTGTTCAACTTTGAATGATGATTTGGCAAAAAACAGAATCATTTGAATTGACTCTTTTTAAAATGTTTCATGAGATATCATGACTCAGCACTATTTCCATTGGGAAGGTAGATATACTACACTCGACATGTCAGTGTCAAACTAGACATGTCAGTTTCAAAATCGCATCAATTTATACATATAAATAACTAGGGCTGAGTTGCACCACCAAACTTTGACCGTAACTATAACCGATAACCGGTGGTTTTGGTATGGAGTTTGACAGATTTTTGATGTGTGTTACAGTCAAAGTAAGATGGTGTAACCCAGCCTAAGATGCCAAAAGATGATGTGTCACGTCCACACCTAATACCAGTAAGCACGTCATTATTAGGCAATATTGGAATGCTGTCCACGACAGATGTAGAGATGGAACTTTGATCGCAATGATTACTCATACAGATTCTCTCAATTTATTTTGAACCTTATCTAAAACAGTATAAAGGTTTTTATATTATTTGCTTATTAACAAAGGTACAATTTTCTATCCAAAAAAACCTTCAAAAATACCCACGGTCAGTTCCTAGAACAGTTAAGTGCAACCTTAAATAATGCAGTTTCACTATTTTGTAGAGTTACGCAGGCAAATGAAGACTCCATCGCGTCCTACCTCATGTTTCTCTACATTATAATAGATGGTGCTACATGTTCTTTATATACGTTATACCACAGAATAATAATAAGTACTGTTATACCTACAAGTGTGGGTATTGGCTCTGTGCACGATTACAGCGCCAACTAGCGTCCACAACTTTGTGGGCTCTGTCACATTGACATTGAGGTCGTANCTCATAATATTAAAAACTAGCTGACCCGGCGAACTTTGTTCCGCCTTAATGGCAATAAATAACGGGATAAAAAGTATCCTATGTCCTTCTCCTGGCTCTAAACTACCTCCCTGACAATTTTCAGCTAAATCAGTTCAGCCGTTCTTGAGTTATAAGTGGAGTAACTAACACGACTTTCTTTTATATAATAGATTATACTAGACATCCAAAAATTAGTTATTGATTCTGAAAGTTCTTCACGAGCTCTAATCAACGGTTCCAATAATAAGTTACAAAATAAACTGGAACTGTCCGAAAATTCAATGTTTCCAGCTTTCATACATTTAGTACTGCCACAGTCATGGCACTCATGTCTTGATAATATTATAGTAAATAAAGCGTAAAACCAATGTTTTCCATGAATAGATAATTTTAAATAGGAATGTTAAATAGAAATTCATTTTAAGTGTTTATTATTTAATAAAAAAAAATAACACTTCTAATATTGTGTGGCTGGCATACATTTAGTATGGAGGCTGAAAACATTGATTTTTCGGATAGATTCACTTAATTCTGTAAACTATTACTAATACCGTTTGAAAGAACTCGTGAAGCACTTTCAGGATCATTAACCAGTTTTTCGATATCTTGTCTAGTTTAGAAATAATAGAGTGAGATCACTTATCGTTTCCACCCTGTATAAATAACTAGGGCTGAGTTGCACCACCAAACTTTGACCGTAACTATAACCGATAACCGGTGGTTTTGGTATGGAGTTTGACAGATTTTTGATGTGTGTTACAGTCAAAGTAAGACGGTATAACCCAGCGTAAGATGCCAAAAGATGATGTGTCACGTCCACACCTAATACCAGTAAGCACGTCATTATTAGGCAATATTGGAATGCTGTCTACGACAGATGTAGAGATGGATCGCAATGATTACTCATACAGATTCTCTCAATTTATTTTGAACCTTAT